TTTTTCACTGAAAACAGATTAATGAATGGCGTGAAACTATTTTTAAAATAATGCAAATTAGCTTAAAGCAGATGCGCATTTTTGCGTTTGACGTCATCCGTAGGTTTCCTACTCGTAGCCCGGTCCAAAGTATCTTGTATTTCACTTTTTTWGAGTCGAAAACCGAAAACTAAGACGTCTAGGATTACACTTCATTTCAGTTAGCCCGCGTTTCTTGGCGGTTTGCGGAGTTGAGAAGAGAGAGTCGAAACACCGCTGACCACCAAGCAACGCAGTCTATAATCATATTYCTTCGAACCACTACGTTTTTATGGAAAAAGACAATACTTTTGAACAGCTAGGTTTCGATCGACAATTAACAACGYGCTCTAAGCGTAGCTGCTTTTCTTTGCCAGATTCTCATACCCTGGTATTTTTTCATAGTGTTGGGCGGCAGCTTGGCTTTCTTCACCGCGATGTAATGATTCATACGCAGGCTGTTTCACGGTTTGCAGCTCCATGTACTCTGCCGTTTTTGTTTGCTTATTCGCTTCCACTTTCGCTGCCCTCGCAGCGTCGTCTAACGTCYCATAAACAGTACTAGTACCGCCTGGCGTTTGGCCTAATTGCGCGTAATGTTGTACACTTTGACTCTCATCTTGGATCACTTGCTCTGGTGGTTTGAGAGGGTTAGTTACGACGCCACTGCTTGACTGGATGACGTCACTCTCGAGTGCTTCGTTATCATTGGCGTCAGCCATTACGTTTTGCCCTTCATTATTTTCTCTATTTCTTCGTAATAGACAAATCAGGTAGACGATGCATATCACCATAACAACGATAATCGATAGCAAAGGAAGTATGAAATACATTACTGTTGATAAAAGAAAGAATTGGTCGATTATTTCATATATCTATTCCAATATACACATCTTTACCTTGGGTATACTTTTCCCCCATTACAGACCACTTGTCATTCCCTTGAGTATCATTTCTTTGTTTAATGGTTGCACATGAAAAGACACACGAATATGGATACAGCTCAAACGAAGAATCTTATTCTTGAAATAACGACAAGTGGTTTGAAATGCCAAAACATAACGCCCGAGGTTATGAGGTGTATTTTACGAATAAAACCCTGAATCTCATTACCATTCATTGTTGGGTTTGGTTCTTGCTGCCTTGGGTCACCTGCGGCAGAACATTCCTTCACTTCATATCTGCTCGTCGTGAAAGTAACAGTCCCCTCACTATTAGTAGCATTGCACACATAGGTGCCAAAGTCTTCATCCTTCACAGATTTCAAAACTAGTTTATTTCCTTCGATCTTTGAAGCAGAATCATCATCAACCACTACATC